AATATGCTGTTACTTAGGAAGCGCAAAAACCACTGCGTAATGGCAACCGATCTCCGATTGCTCCTCTTGACACAACTAATTGGTGTATGCTTATCGGCGCTGGCACAGGCACAGTTGAAGCTACAAATTGCCGATTTACAAGTCGACGCAACACGACGCGAGTACTTCGCCCTACAGGACTCGTTGTGGGATTACTTGAATAGAGACGGTACCAGCAAAAGTTCGCAACTGCGAAAAGTTTACGACTCGCATCGCAAATTTGTTAATGACAACCTACAAAGTAATTTCGAGGTGGGAAAGTATGATATACTAAATCACTACGAATGGAGTCTGCTGGAGCGCGACTTGCTGCAAATCGACAGCGTATTCGGTTACTATAAGGTGCGCTATTCGTATACAAATCAGTGTGAAACATATCGTTACCTTGATATAGAAAGGCCCTATCTAATATTTTTGTTTTTGTACAAAGTGGTTATAAAAGTTTATAAAAACCAAGGATCTTTCTTTGTTGCGAATTTTATCAAAGCCCTGGTTTTTAATAAGCACAAAATCTAATTTAATGATGTAGTTGTTAGTTGTTATTAAATTCTTTTTAGTCGTTAGTGAGTAATCTTCTCACTATTGTACAAAGCGGAATTTCGAAAAAAAAAAATTAGTTAGGACCTTTCTATGTAGTATATTAAGGTAACGTTATGTGCAGTGGGAACGATATGTGGTGACCGCATTTTAAATACTTTATTTCATGCATTTGCAGAATTTCATGACCGAGCACAACAACACAGCTGAGCTAAATGAGCGCGCCGTACTGGACATCTGCGAGACGGCGCTACGTAACGACAACACCTTTTCAATGTCGCGCATTTTCCAGGATGTCGAACTAGTGATGGTGAAGCAAGCACTGTATTACAGAGCAATGCTGGTCAGTTTAAAGTCGCTGTGGGCATATTTTAGGAATGTCCATAGATTCGAATACCAAATGGAACAAAAATGCAATGCTTAAGTAGAGACAGACAGACAGACAGAGTATTTAAGCAGCTGTTCACGAATGTGGCTAGGTGCACATTTCATCGTAATATGCATTTGATTCAGTTATTATCGTAAAAAATTTAAACAAATCACACTATTGAAAATAGAAGCCAGTTAGTTATAACAAATATATGTATATATATTAATTTGCCTGCGAAAAATGCATGGAATTAACTTTGCCTCGACGGGTTTCTACATACTCTATTAAATTTTTAATTTAATTGCATTTGAATGTGTGCGGAGAAACACAGTTAATACAAGCATGGAGCTGATGGAGTTGATTACATACATGCATGCATATGCATTCAAGCAATTTAAAAACATATGCCAATTCTCATAACGCCAATTCGATTGGCAAATCTAGGTAAACAATAAAAATGCATACATATACGCGTTAAAAAACGGTAGAACCATATATATACGTACTTTCTACGTATTAAATTTATGCCTTTTAAACTGTCAGCCCTAAATTGACCACAAACTACGAAATAAGAAAGAACAAAGCAAATAGAGCTGGAATGAAACTACGATATACCAGGGCCTCATAAAGCAACTCAAGTTTCAGCGCCGTTTTTGTGTCTGCAAAAAAAAACCACAGTTGCCATTCGAATAAAAAAGCAAGGCCATGACGATTACCTAGAATTTTTACACATGCACCCTACCCTAACGCGCAAACTGTTTTCAGAAAGTATTTAACAAGCCTAGGTAAACACTTTCTGTATTAAAAATGTTCGTAGATGTGAAAGATCTTTTTATACATACATATTTTTAACATACCATATCGATGGCTGAGTGGAAGATCGACCTATCTCGGCTGCCAGTTCGAAAACGCTCTATCTCAAAAAACTTTTCAAGAACGCCCTATTTCAGAATTTTATTGAAAAACACCCTATCTCAAAATTCGGTTCAAAAATGCCCTATCCCACTTCAAAATGTATTGAAAATATGCTGTTGTAGGGCGTTTTTGAATCGGCAGCTGAGATAGGGCGTTTTTCAAACGAATTCTGAAATAGAGCGTTCTTGAAAAGTTTTTTGAGATAGAATGTTTTCGAACTGGCTGCCGAGATAGGTCGATCTTCCACTCAGCCATCGATATGTATATGCATATGTATAGGCATATATGTACGTATCGGCACACCTAGATCTTAAGTGAGCTAACTCAGAATTCAGATCGGGAAATGTAACTGCTTGGGGATCGTACAAATTCAATGCAATGCGATCCCATTCTTAACAATAAAATGAAAAATTGTTTGTTTACAGGAATCGATGGACCAAATATGCCACACAAAACAATCGGCCCAGCAGTTCCTTAATTCGCTGTATGCGGATATAGCCCTAACCGAACTAAAGGGCTACACTATGATGCAGTTTTCCTGGATGATGTTAAGGATCTACGGCAAAGGTAACTACAATTATGAACCAGAGAGATTACCACTTAAAACTGTATTGATATTTCTATATATTACAGGTAACTTTACACAAGAGGTCGATTTAATGCGCATGGACTTTGAGAAACGAACTGAGCGCACGCTAAAATTATTGCGAGAAGTTATGCGGCGCGCCGATCGCATTGTGTGGCGTTGTGATCCTGCTAAATTTGTACGGGGCAAAAATTACGATGAGGTGACTCGGCTTTTACAGGGCTACATCGAGAATGAAGTTGACTTGAATAAGGAGGAAACCTGCCGTGAGACTTGCGATTTTTACCAATCAACCAGATCGGAGGGTTGCTTTAAAGATCTGTACTGTGCACGCCAACCCAGATGTTCTGGTAAATTGTATCACTGCACATTTGTGGACTCAGACATGTGGGTGTGCCCTGCTGTATGTGTAACGAGCATTACTTATTAAATATTACACATTATTTAAGCGAACTCCTTTTTTTTTATTACAGAGCCGTAATAGTACGCGGCGCTATGAATACATTGAATATGAAAATGGGCGCGTACTTGGTCAGCGATCAGCCTGTGTGCGTGGCACAACAAAGGTAAGAGCACATTCCATACATATGTAGATATATCACTTTCTAAAACTGAAGAGATATTCCTACATAAGAGTGTATTCTGGCACATTCATATACATACATATGTACATATCTACAGGTGGACTCCTGGTGGCGCTATCTTTTCTGGCATTGCAGCTACTGCTTTTGTTTGTGCGATGAGATTAGTATTAAATCTGATCGCTACTTCAATCTTCGCGAAACAGTATCTGATGTGGAAAACAATAAGTAAGCCTCCTTCAAGACATTATTATTGAGCGATTAATGAAATCGGTTTCCTCATTTTCCATATATAAATATTTAGGGTCGTCACTGGCTTACGTTTCGTGAAAAATAATCGTATATTTCACTTACAAATTCAAGAAGGACAACTTTTACCACGAGGTGCCATAAATCGAACTAGCCTCTCTTGGAAGCCGTTTGAAGACTATAAAATATTCGATAGAGACGTGCGTAATGGGCGGGACTATCACACGCTTAGTTTCGAAAGCCGCTCGGTCGACTTGGACGACATCTATACAGACGACAATTCATACGTTGTCGTTGGTGTGCGATTCCGAGTGGTTGGCGCCCATTTGAACGTAGAGGCCAAGCTAGCCGAATACGACTTTAAAGCTGGCCAATTAATAAATCCGGAAATCAATAGCTTTTGGAAATCCAACGACAACACAGATGTTAGCGGCGACCGAAGGTAACTTGGAATGGCATTTACGTGTGAAACAAATATCTTACTAAATGTTCGGTATTTTAAGGCAAAAAATAAATCTCCACAACCCGGATATGTCTACACGCACTATTGTCAAATCTATACCAGACTCTCGACACAACCAGTACATTGACTTTGTCAATACGAGCTTGGAAAAAGATGCTGCGCAAAGCACTGTGCCTTTTATTGATACACAGGAAGTGGTATCCAATCCTCCAGTGCCTCTTTCCGGCCTCGGCATATACCATAAGGGGCAAAGCGGTTATGGCGGTTTTCTTGCACCAAAGATTATGACCTACGATTTTAC